ATTTGGGGGTCTAAGAAGACCCCTGACATTTTCCCTTTTCAAACCCTCAATCTCTTTTTCAGCAAACTGTTCTAAAGGAATAGAGAACACTCCGTACAGAGGCTTCCCATTCATTCAGAAAATATTTACAACCAACCAGTTTCTGAATGGGGAGGAGCCTCTGTACTGAGTGCTACTACCCATTCAGAAATTCATGAATTAACAGGGAATGATGTCAGATCCTGGCTGAGTGGCTCTCTCTCCTCACCGCTCAGCTATCCTGGACGACAGCTCCCTCCTCCGTGCCCCTCACCCCTCCGGCTTCCGATCTCGGATCCCCGCTGCCTCTGTCCATACAGGCGGGGATCCAGTGGAGAAGCTGCAGGCTGTGCCGCCCTCTTCTCCCTGCCGCACTGAGCCCTGGCTACGCCACCTCGCACCTGCGCCCAAGGAGAGTGCCTCAGTCGCCTCAACCTTGCTATGGCTCTCAACTGGGCAATGCCTGGATCCTGGACACACACCAAACACACAGGCTTGACTTTTTTCTGACTCCAAACTAAGCTCCACCCACTTCAGAAGTCCTGTTTGAGAGCCTCATGGACATTGAGACTCTGACATTGAACTGCTGAATGGCGGAGATGGTTGATCGTTCTAGAGTGAGAGCGGGGAAGCACTAGCCAGGTATTACAGAGATGTGCAACAAGTTTAGTATCTTTGACGTAGATCTAGTATCCTCTGGCGATGTTTAGTTTCAATTAAGAACCTGGAGCAGCCCTCCTCCCTGCTGTCTCTGGTTTCTTAACACAATCAAAAAAAAATGTATAGGTCGGTTAATTAGCCGCTGGACAACATTTTTGCTCTAATTTTAGTGCCTCAATGAGTCAGTGAATAGCTCAGTGTTCTCTGCACAGTGCTGTGGAATGTCAGAGCTATATAAATGTATGATAGTAACAATAGTGTGTGACTATTAATGGACATTAGAGTGTAAGCTCCTCTGGTGCAGAGACTGATGTGAATGGCTCAGTGTTCTCTGTACAGTGCTGTGCAATATGTCGGAGCTATGAGTATAACAATAAAATATTGATAACTTTAGTGCAATGAATGCCACACCTTACCTTTTCTGCACTGCTTCTATGTGTGAATTTTTCTACATTTTTGCCATCTTACCATCGATTTTTTTTTTTTGTTCTCCTTGTTACAGAGCTAGTGGAACAGACAGATTCAGCATTTATGAAGAGTAGAAGGGAAGAAAGCCCACCAGACCAAGTTTCTATTGCCCATTCCGGGCCTGTGTGCCTTCTGGGATTCCCTACCAATGTGGCCTAATCTTTTGGAACTACTGCAGCCCCCTCCCTCCCCATGCGGAGTGATCTATTAAATATCATGTAGTTGGATTACACTGAATCGCTCCGTGGGGGCCGGCTCATAGACAGCTATTCTCAGGAAGTGAGGAGTGTGGTTTCACTGCCTCCTCTGTTTACAAGCTACGTCTTGCTGCCTTCATCCACACGTTCCCCCCCCAATGTTTTGTACTGGAGTTTTTTTTTAGTTTTTTTTTTTCATGTCTCTTTCTGGGATCTACTTTTGTTTTGCAACTAATGAATTATAGAAAGTTTTGGATCGCTTCATTTCCTGTGGCATTCTGGGTGAGCAAATTAGACTTTGCCCTGTGATGAGATGGATTCCGTTTGGTTTAGGACCAGGAAAATAAAATACAAGTTGCCTTTTTTTTCTTTTTCATGGGCAGGAGTAAGTGGTACAATAAAGTTGTGGTATGCTTGCCCGATTAGCATGAAAATGTTGTTGGTAAGTTGTCTCCTAAAACAGGTTCAAGTCCAGTGACAAAAATGTCCACAATGCAGCTGTTTCGTGTCTATAGGTGGCCATACACTATACATGTAGTGACTTGCGATTGTTCTAGATGCGATCACAAAAAAGTCATTCATCAGTTCAAATATCAGATGAGTCAACACATGCAGTATTGTGTCATAGTTTTACCATCAACTGAATATATATTGGTCAAACATTTGACTGATCAGTGGTGATTGTAAACGATCGATTGTGCAATTGATTTGTATTGCGGTTCGCCAACACGCACAGATGTTTGAAAGATTAAAAGCAATCAGCAAAATTCCACTGCAGCAGAATCAAAATCCATTGAGCCCTTTAAATCCATTGGATAATCTCTGCATTGCAACTTGATTGGTTTAGTTCCAGCAAATCAATTTATTTTTTATATCCATATGTGTGTGGCCACAATAAGGCCCCTTTCACACGGGCTGATCAGGAGGGGGGTCCGTGCACAGATTCCCTGCTGATCAGAGCAGTACACCGCGGTCACATCGGTGTCCGGAATGAGAACTGCTGGACCACATGTCAGTTTATGGGGAGTCGTATGTAAATAGACGTGTGTCAGATTACTCCCGATCCGGCACAATCAGATCTCTTTTTCCGTTCCTGGCCATAGTTGGGAGTAACCGGGTGTAAACAGGCGTCCATTTACACCCAGCGGCCCATGGTCTAGCATTGGGCATCCGATTGGGTCCGCTTGAAAAACTGACAGGTGGACCCAATGAAGCAGAGGAAACCCCAAAATAAAATATATATGGGGGGGGGAGGGGGAGTTTATCAAAACTTGAGCAGACAGAATTAGGAGCAGTTGCCATGACTGCTCCATATTTTGTCTGCTCCAGTTTTTAAACCCCCCCCCATGAAGGGAATTTATTAAGACTGGAGCAGACAAAATCTGGAGCAGATTTGCACTGCAGCCAATCAGCTTCTGTCTCATTTTCAAATCTTATCTGAGCAAACTGAAGAGAGGTGCTGATTGGTTACCATGGGCAACTGCTCCTAATTCTGTCTGCCCCAGCTTTGATACATTCGCCCCAGTGTATCTTACCGGTCCTTCGCTGTAGCAGCTGCATTTGTTTTCTTTTATCAGGCTCCCCCCCCAGTCCTCCCCACCTGTATTTTTGTCTGGCGATCCTTCAAATAAGACACTTCCTGTCCTTGGGTGGCTACGCTCACTTCTCCCCTGTATCTATGGGGCGAGCTATGGTTGTCACACAGGCTGGACTTCAAACATGGTTTCTTTGTTCATCCCTATTACAGGTGGGCTGATGGGATCAGATGTTTAAAATGTGGCATTTCCAGCAATATCGGCAGGTATTTTCTGTACTTGCTAAAAATGTTGTTCGCCGGAAAAAGGAAAATGAATGTAACCGCCACACCTAAGGGACTGATAAATGGCAATTGTCTGCATTTTTTAAGGTTTAGATACGCCTTGAGAAACCGCAGCGGGGAGTTCTCTCATATACTGTACACCTCTCAAGCAGCCTGTGGCTCCTGTGTGCCTTCCCTTCCTACACTGCAGCCTCAATCAGTCTTTCCAGCATTGGACAATCCCAGGAAGCCCGTGTCCCCCACCGTGTTCTGGTTCCTTTTTTTTTTTTTCCCCTTACCCCCCATGTCCGCTACAGGCCGTAGGATGAACCACGGCTTGGCATTGCAACAAAAAGTTACGTTTTTTATTTCTGTGTTTTTGCCGGGGAATATGGCTGCCGGCACGACATGCAACATTCCTGGGGTTGTCAAAGACTGAAGAGACTGGCAGTGCTGGGTCACAGGGGGAGTAGGGGACATGGGCCACAGGAGAGGTGCTTATAATACATTTTTAAAAACCATCCAGGTCGTGTTACCATATTGTTGTAGGTTTTTGTCTATCTTGGGCTAAACAGGATCACCTGCAGCGTCCTTCCATGCCCAGGAAGTCACCTGTGCGTAGGCATGTGTCCCCCCCCCTTAGCATAAGGCCAGAACTCCGTATCTGATAAAATGCTGCAATATTTACATATATTCTAAACAAGTTGGGTACACTCTGGCCCTCCAGCTGTGATGAAACTACAAGTTCCATCTTGCCTCTGTCAGTCTTGCAATGCCTAATGGGATTTGTAGTTGCACCACAGCTGGAGGGTTGGAGTTTGCCTGCTCCTGTCCTTTTAAGTATTCAATTTTTTTGGGGGGGGGGGGATAGAGAGAGGAGGCTGTGACCCCATATGGGAGATTCCAACACATCACCTGGAAAGGAAGTGAAGGGACTCCTCCAATGGGGACACAGCAAACCCTTTTACCCATCCAGACTCAAGTTTTAGCTGGAGGATGGCATGAAGAGAAACCATTGCTGACCTCTTATTCTAAGAACACTGGTTGCCTGTTGGTGGTTTCTAAATACAATGTCTGTGGTCTCTGACCCAGAACAAACCTGCAGGTAGGAAGTTTCGACTTGCATACTTGTTCTTGGTCAGTAATTTAAAAGTTACCAACAACCAGTTAGGCAATTGGCATTTTCAAAAGTCTCCCCCATTTCTATCAGTACAGGTTTTTCTTTAAAGTGACCCTGTCTCTAGGTTAAAAAGTCTAAACAATGTCATAATCTAAACAAAGAAATTGAATAATCTACTAGTCTGGTGTCCGACGAGTCAACTGCGGAGTGGCTGCTTCTGACACTTCCTGGTGTGTCAGATAACACATCCCCCATACAGTGCTGTGGTTCCTCCCGCCAGCCCCTATTGTGTCTGTACTGATATTATAGCCTGTGAGTGGAACCAGAGCTCCCGCAGAGGACAACTATATATATTTTTTTAGAAAATGAAGGTTTGACACTCTGCCAGGGTGGCACCATTTTGGATTTTCTTTCACTAGGGTCGCATTAACTGCTCTTTTGTTCCATGTCAGGATGTATTGTGGACTCTGTAGGATTTACAGTGCCCAGACCTTGGGCCGAGATTATTCGGTGTACGCCCAATTTGTTTTTTTTCCTGAAATATGAATTGGTGCTTCCTTTTTAAAATGCTGTTCATACGGCACTATCTCCCCTAGATGGCGCTGGAGAGTAGAGAAGTTTCCTATATAAAGCCCATAAAGTCGCTTTGCCATGTGTGGCATCTAGTTCCCCGTCAGGTTACTAAAACATCCCGCTGAAAGTTCCCTGCAAGAGAAGCGGTACAGTACCAGTGTCTGCCACCTCCCCTCTGTTCCCGTGCTGCACCCCTCCTAAGATTCTTTGGCATTTCTTTGTGTCCCCGCAACACACCATGGCTCCTTCCTCCAGTCACTACATTGCGGCAGGACGTGGAGGGGTCAGAGGTTGAAGCGGCAGCATGCGGAAGGAGACGCAGGCCACCAGTGGGGAGAATAAGAGCTCTACTCATGCAGGAACTTTCAGCAGAATGTTTGTAACTTGGCAGGATCTCCCAAGTGTAAAAAAATAACTGCAACAAAAAAAATAACTGCAATAATTCTCCAGTGTTAATAAATAAATGTAACAGATGTGTGTACCACCAGCACCCCCACCGCCTATCACAGGGGTAAGAAACCTCAGCACTCCAGCTGTTGTGGACCTACAAGTCCCATGAGACATTACAAGACTCTAACAGCCACAAGCATGACTCCCAGAGACAGGTGCATGATGGGATTTGTTGTTTCACCACAGCTGGAGTGCCGAGGAGGCCTATCCCAGGTCTGGCCTAAAAATATGGATATCCCCTCCCTACTTCTCAGT